TATATATTTACAAATGCATATGACCTAGTTAAATTGGTGGGTGGGCATGTATGTGTATCTGGTTCCATTGTTATCTTGAGACCACCCACTACCACTGTAGTCTGGTACATATCAGCAGACCTAATAACTATTTTGTCCAAAATTTAAATGTTTTACAACAAATGAAGTATACACTGACCTGTATGAATATTTAATACCGAGTAACATAATTAAACTGTACTGGAAGTGTCACCAAAAAATGAAGTATACATTGATCCAAATATTGATAGTATTATAATTATTAAAGATACATTCAAAATTGTATATAGCGAAAGACGGGTTTGGAAGTGCTACTGTCACTCAGTAAATTTTGTGTTAGCAATAAATTATACATGTCTCATAGAACCAATATTGGACCATGATGACCGGTATTTTGTCAAGACACAGATAATAGTAACATGATTCAGATGTCATTCAAGTACATTAAAATGGAGCAGAACTGTAACACTAATGAGGCACAAATATTCTTGGTCCTGGATCAAATTCAGCCATTTAAATGGTCAAAGACTTGTAATAAGTACACTGTTATAAGTAATGCAACCAAAAAATATGACTTTCTTATAAACATAAATGGAATACAGTAATATGATTAAAAGCAATAACTGTTTGGTTGTGTACTTGTCTGAGAATACAGTAAATTTCTCAAAATTTGTTATCAAAATTTCACAGATGAAAGCTGTGAATCCTTTTCACCAGTCCATGTTGTAGAAATGCTTATTCTCTAGGGGGAGTAACTTGAAGAATTTGTGAATTGAAAGTGGTATTCAAACTGATTCAATCATTGCTGTACACACATATACACAATAAGTAGATTAATAGGAAGTTCAGGCCAAATTCAAATTTATATGTATCATCTTCTTGTTTTCATTATTCATGCTAGTATAATACCAGTGTTTAAAACAAATCTTGAAATTTTGCTCAGTAACAATGAATGAAAAAAAAAATACATTTACAGCTTGATAATATTTTCCATTCTATACAAAAGTTTTCTCCCAGAATGCATTGCAGTGTATAATTAGACTTTGGTGTACACAAACAAATTGGGAATCACATGAATTATTTATCAACCATGTTCCCTGAATCCTTGAATAATACACAACACATTTTAATAAATCATATAATGAAATATACATCATATTATGTATATTATGCGATTATCATCATGAGAATACCAAAAAATATCCATGAAGGCAGTACGGCGATTGTATTGATGCGATCCTTCTACTGCCTGAGTACATACTTTGTAGCATTATTATTAAATATCTTTTTTTGTATGGACTAGTGCGTAGCGGAGTTCCATGCGATCCGTCTACTGCTTGAGTACATACTTTGTAGCATTATTATTATATATCTTTTTTTGTATCGACTGGTGCGTAGCGGAGTTCCATGCGATCCGTCTACTGCCCGAGTACATACTTTGTGGTATTCTTTTCCTGTTTTATTAGTACAAATTTGTCAAGAGATAGCCAGCCCAAAAAAATGTTTTGCGCTATAGCGTGCCATGTCAATGCAGAGTTCACCTCAAATAAGGAAACATTTGACTGAGTGCAGATACATTTTGAAAGGAATACAGATAACGCTTTTTACAAAATGATAAATTCTATTGTTTTTTGTGGTGATAATAGAATATATCAATTTAAAAAAATGATGAATTCTACTGTTTTTTCGTGATAGATAATAGAATATACACATGTATTCACAATTTGTTATCTTCAAAAAAAACTTGATTGAATAGTGTCTGTTCTAAAAGTATGGATGCTGAAGAAGAAAAGAGTTTTTTATGAAGAATAACAGAATATATACAAGTACCTATGAAAAATATAATAACTATAAAAAAAGTTAATAAATATGAGAATACATGTAATAGGCAATGGCAAAAAGCTTTTTCACTCCACTCAGAATTATTCAAGTTCACAGACACATAATGTACTATAACCAATTCTTTACGGTGTTATTTGTCCTAATAAACATTTGTCTGTGTCATGTGACATGACTGCTCCATGTTTATAACATGGTTCAGGAACGCATTTTACTACCATCCTCCCTTAAGCTAAAAGTTTTTCTTCTTCTTCAGCTGGTTGGTGATGTTTGAAGTTTTCAGCAGTGAGATTAACTTCTTCAGCCTCTTGCTCAATTGTTTCTAAAACTAGAAAATAAATTATCAATTAATGAAGAAAGTATCACTAACATTGACATAAATAACTGAACTTGACACCAGAGATTCTAGATCTCCAATATTAGAGAAGGAAACCAAATACAGTAAAGGGCTTAATTATTCACTGGGTTATAATTTTGCTTATTTCGCTGACTGGAAAATGCGCTAAATTAAAACCCAGTGAATATGTAAAATTGAGCATGGAACACATTGTCTAAATGATAAAACTGTGAATTTAAAACCCACTGAATATGCCTGAAATGGTAAATCAGCGAAATTTAAACCCAGTGAAAATTAGTCATTTTACAATATTATATACATGTATTAATATACATCTGTCACCGATACTCCAGCTGTACTGTCTTCATGCATACTTTGAGGTATTCTCGTAATAACCTTATAGATATAGCACAATAAGAATGTTTTTGTTTTTTATATATATTTTTGTTTGGTGCCAGGCGACAGTTTCGGACATTGAATGTCACTGTTGTCTCTCCTGACTTTTTTTTGTATGTGCAAATTGCAAGTGCTAGTGCTGACACATAGTGCATTTTTGGACCTTAACCAAGGTTCTCCCAAAGTCAAATTTGTTAGTGAATGAATCTCGGCCAGTGGAATTGGCCTACCCAGGGTAGGGGTTGACCCCTTTGATGTTCAGCCTGAGGTAGGATTTGATCTACCGATCATGAGTCTGATGCGACAACCACTATGCTACCAGTGACCGGTGTAAATAAGAATGTTTGTGAATATTGCAGCAGTAAATGAACCGATAGAGTCGTACTAATTAACACGAGAACATGCACAAGGTACGCATGTCATTAACCCCCCCCTTTAGTCCCAACGCATGTCTGCCCTTCTTCCCAGCAGTAACATTACATGTTCGATCATGTAGAACATGTGTATGCTTGATCTATATCATGTAAACTTGCTTTCGAGAAGGATGGTAATCGATCAATGATTCACAGTTGAAAACATGACTTACTTTCAACGTTAGCTTCCACATCCTTTAATTCTTTTGCTACAACTCGATTGAGAGGTTTTTGATAATATTCCGTGGCATATGGCATGTATAGCTTTCTAACAAATACTAGAGCAGCTATGAAGCCAATAGAACCTGTCAAATTGAAACATTATATATTCATTAATTATTCTAAAAACTAGAAATGCGTCTGAAACAATTATTTTATTTAGTTATTAGACCTCGTTAAACTTTTACCCATACTTATCAACCAAGTTGATACTTTGTCATCAAGTTCCAGCTTTTATCCAGCCACCTACCAACTAAATGTAGCCTCTGATGAATGGGTAACTGGAGCCATGTTATTAATAGTCTTGCATACATATTTTAATATCATTTTACCATGTGGCATACACCGAGCATAAGTGGTAAGTTGATGTGATTCCATCATAACACATATATAAGTTGTCAATTAATACAACTATCTCACACAGCAAATTTGTTGTTGGATGATCAGTGAGCCAGTGCAGACAGCAGTTCAGTTTATTTTTTTGGCAAAGCGACTTTCCATTTGTCCATATTAGTTTGTTTTTCAATGACTCAAAATTTGTTATATCTCTAAAAATTTACCGCAGTTCATAGTAAATAGCATGTAAACTGACCTGTGAATAGGAGGAATACAATTGCCATCAGGCTGGTATAGCTAAAGTAGATGACGAAACTGAATGGATCTTGTGCCTCGGTTTTGTTAATGTAGAAATAAACACAATAAACAAAGAAATATACAGCACCGAATCCTGTGGTGATGAAAGAATTCCATGACCATCTGTAATTCTGTGTCAACACAAAAATGTAGAGCATATCACATCTATTACAATACTAACAAATGGCAGATATAGGGAATAAATGTGTTAACTCAATATTGGATTATGCAAAGGATTGTGGGATAAAAATCAAACTATAAAGGTTGTTTTACTTTGGGGGGGGGGGGGCTCGTTTATTTTCAATACAGCCCTGTGCTAACATCAACAGTAAGCCACTCCTGTTTTCAAGTAACGTGTTGATTTTAAATCAGTTTTATAAGGAGCATATGGTGACAGTATTGTGGTAAAACACTATACTAAAATTTGGGTGTTTGTGGTGGCATAAATTTCAAAGAAAACTTACCTCAGCACTGAGTTGCAGGTATGTGAATACAATGGAGATTTCAGCACACAGTACACATAGTATAGCAACTTGTATTGCCAGATATCCATATGAATAATAGATCTGATTATTCCTGTAAAGTAACAAGGTGTGAATAAACTAAATAAAGGGTAAACAAATTTGTTTACTGTAAAAAACTTTATTTTCGCTTAGAATTAACTTTCCCTTTTTTCGCTGATGGAATGTTTCAGTGAAAGTAAAATCCAGCGAATATACATTTTTTCCTTATGTTTCACATTCAACTAAAAAATCAGTGAAAATAAATTCCATAGAAAACGCTAAAAAAGTTTTTTTGACGAAAATTAATTCCAGCTAAAATAGTTTATCACTTAGAATATAAAATACCTGTGTATTTGTTTATTCTACAGAAAGGGGTAAAATACAGCAACAGAAAACAAACATGATATGCACGTGATGGTAACCCAGATGGACATTTTATTTCTAATTCCTATAAGCTGCAGTGTGTTAGCGACAAAGTGTTAGCGACACAGTGTTAGCGACATAGTGTTAGCGACATAGTGTTAGCGACATAGTGTTAGCGACACAGTGTTAGTGACACAGTGTTAGTGACACAGTGTTAGTGACATAGTGTTAGTAACATAGTGTTAGCGACAGTGTTAGTGACATAGTGTTAGCGACATAGTGTTAGCGACATAGTGTTAGCGACATAGTGTTAGCGACATAGTGTTAGCGACATAGTGTTAGCGACAAAGTGTTAGCGACAAAGTGTTAGCGACACAGTGTTAGCGACACAGTGTTAGCGACATAGTGTTAGCGACATAGTGTTAGTGACATAGTGTTAGCGACATAGTGTTAGCGACATAGTGTTAGCGACATAGTGTTAGCGACATAGTGTTAGCGACATAGTGTTAGTGACACAGTGTTAGTGACACAGTGTTAGTGACATAGTGTTAGTGACACAGTGTTAGTGACATAGTGTTAGTGACATAGTGTTAGTGACATAGTGTTAGTAACATAGTGTTAGTAACATAGTGTTAGCGACAGTGTTAGTGACATAGTGTTAGCGACAAAGTGTTAGCGACATAGTGTTAGCGACAAAGTGTTAGTGACACGCCCATAAGTATGTTAACAGCACAGATCATAGGGTGTTAATACTTACCACAGTGAATTCAATATAAAAAACAGCTGTATGAAGATAACACTGAATGGAATGGCACCACAAAATAGTTTGATAATTAGAACGGCAATTTTACGATAACATGCTCTTGATGGCATGAATCGACGAATATCAGATGGTGGAACTGGGTGCCAAACTCTCTGAAATCAGGAACACATAAAAATACATGTCAACAAAGACTTTTCATCAGATAAGACAATTCCATACTAATGTACAGATCAGTATATAAACATAAGACGATATTCTAAATTACTGTAGAATACTTTATTTTCGCTTGTAATTTTTTTTTTGCTATTTTTGCTGAAGGGATGATTCCGTGAAAATAAAATCCATCGAATATACTTTTTGCCTATATTTCACATTAAACTCATCAAAATTCAGTGAAAATAAATTCCATACAAAATGCTCAAAAAGCCTTTCCAGCAAAAATAAAGTATTCCACAGTATACCATTCTTGGTCATGTGACCTATTGTTCTGGCTGTTAGTTTTCACCTAGCTGTATGCTTTGCACATACAAGTTAAAAGTTATAATAACCAACCTTCTGTTTTTGTGCAAAGAATCCACCAAAGACGACCAATGGAACATTGCCAAAAATCCAAATGGATAAGACTGCTATTCCTGTTGTCCAAGGCAACACAGATGAACTGCCAGTCACAACAAATATGATATTACATAATAATAACTGAAATATGGCCATTGCTGGTAACAATGTAGCTGTCAATGCTGTTGTCAATTTCCAATGCTCACCGCCCCACACTGTAATATAAGTAGGCAATCAGTCAGTTTGAAAAAACTATATCTTGTGTTAGGTCTATGTCAATATAATAAGATTTTGTTGTGTATTGTAGACAACCCCACCTTTTAAATACATAATAGACTTACGGTTTTTAACAAGAAGTCGAAAATATCATTTTTTACTGAAAAATATTCATCAAAATTAGTGAATTGAAGATATATCATCACGAAATGAACAAATCTGAGAGAGGTCTGCCCAAGGTACATATACACCAATTATCAAAGCAATAAGAATTGTAGTTTTCAAGAAGAAGTCGAAATGGTAAAAAGTAGACACGAAAAAGGATGGACAATAATTGCTTGACAAAGCAGACAGCGGAGCTAAAAATCAACAACTTTCATGAAACTGTATTGATTTGTGTACCACAAAGAAAACATGTCACAATATGCCATGCCATGCCATGCCATCATTCATTCAGTTGCTCACAGGACATATGTGTATTTTTAAAATTTGTTTAAAAGTTCATTCAATCATTTCAGTGTTTTCTGTTGAATTGACTGTTTTACATTCAAAATACGGCAAATAATTGGAAATGTCCCAGGGTGCTAGTTGCCATTTTGACAAAATGTCCAAAGTTAATTATCAGAAAAATTAACCTATGCACATCCATTTATGCAAAAGAGCTAGAAAATGAACTGTTAAAAGAGATGGAATACAGTTTTAGATACATCTCTTGTATCAAAAGAAACCAGAAAGATTCTCAGAATAGACACCCACATAGACTGCTGAGTTCTCATTTAGAACGCTGCAAGACTTGTTTTTGTCCCTTAAATACATGTACCACCCCATTCTCTACTGGCTTTGTGTCCACCGTTCCCCTGAATATGTAACCACGTAAACAGTGTACTCAGAAACAGAGAAAAAGAAGCACTGTTTGAGAGACAAATTCTTGTTGCTCTCAATCTAAGGAATGACATGCTTGTATTTCAAACTATTTTATTTAACAAAGTCTTGTTGCTCTCAATCTAAGGAATGACATGCTTGTATTTCAAACTATTTTATTTAACAAAGTCTTGTTGCTCTCAATCTCAATCTCATGCTTGTATTTCAAACTATTTTATTTAACATGATACCAAACAATTCATAATATTAGAGTAGAATTATAGTAAAACCAACAGATTATATCAATATAGCCAAAGTGTACAGATGCTCAGAGATGAATCTGTGAATAAACACAGGAGACAATAAACATCCTTGTATTAATGTAGAGTGCAGTCTGAGGCAGATAGCACGATTTCCAATTTACATCAACAATAACTTACTTTTATAGAGTTTAGCCGTTGTGTAACCAGCAGGACAACTTCCCAATGTAACATAGCCAATTAATATTGTCATGGATATACTTCCGGGATTAGCAGGAGATATGGTACCCAGTGTAGCAAATGCTGCAAAAACAAATAAGAAAACAATGCAATTGATAATGCATAATTTCCAATAAAAAATTAGACATTCTATTTTAAGGACCACATCATTGTGGTCTAAATAAATTTACATTAATGTATGAACCTATACATATCAACATGAGTGATACCATGGTTACCCACATCAACATACGTGATACCATGGTTACCTACATCAACATCCATGATACCATGGTTACCTAAATAAACATACTGTGATGTATTTTTTTGTATGCCAATATACACTTACGAAAGGGCGTTGATTAATGATGTAATTTACTAGAACTTAGGGAGTCTTTGTCCACTATAAATGTGGGTCAGTCACCAATTTTCATTGAGTCATTATGGACACATTTCTAGTCACCAACACTTTGGCACGTGGTGGCATGTCATATGCAGCTACTTCGTCATGAGTTCTCCAAGACAGAGATTGTTTCACGCCAAGCCAAATTAAAGATATTGATAAAGAACCGTGCCATCTCTCTACACAAGATTTCCAAGAACTCTCTGCCATTCAGCGATTACATCGCGTTTGTTCAAGCCTATGTTGTTGTCTGTCGATGAGCCGAATATTAATCACTTGTTGTGTGCGTCGAAAAAGGTCGACTTTTGAAACTAGGAAATTTTAATGTCCATTCCGTTTTGTGACTAGGCGACGGTAAATGTATTTTTTGCGTGTCCTAATTTCATGCATCTTGACACATTTTAATTGTATAATGCTGAATTCATTTAAGTTCATGTCAGTTGATACCTCGTAAGCACACAACTTTCGATTCAAACTCGGCCATAACAATACATGATACCATGGCACCCACATCAACATTCATGATACCATAGTTACCCACACATAACATCCATGATACCATGGTTACCCACATCAACATCCATGATGCCATAGTTATCCACATTAACATCCATGGTTACCCACATCAACATCCATGAAACCATGGTTACCCACATCAACATCCATCTTAATGTGAGTGTACATGGTAACCATACAATAATTGCATCAGTTTTTGTGGCTTCATTGTTGTCTCAGCATCGCATCATTGTCGTCTACGCAAGGCTTCTTTGTCATCTACGCATGGCTTCATTGTGGCCTCAGCATCGCAACATTGTCGTCTACGCATGACTTCGTTGTCATCTACTCATGGCTTTGTGTCATTGAAAATTGAAGCTGTGTTTGCCTCGCTTATTTTGTGGCAGTCTCATGGCATCAACATGGCATCCGTTTCAAAGTATTATGGCATCAGTATGACCTCATTATTTGCACACAGAAAGGCAGTAGAGAAAACACCTATACAGAAGATTGATATGTAATCGATCCTCAAAAGAGCGAGCCCAAGATCGAGCTTGGCGCGATCAGTTAGATCGACCAGTTAGACCTTTCTAAACTTGGCGCGATTGCGGGCACGACTGGTATTTCTTTGCACAACAAAACAGAAAATATCAGTGACAACCTGATTTCCAAACAAATGTTAACATTATGTTTAGATGATATGCAAGTAATTTTTCTATGCATGTGAATCAGTCTGTCCCTGGTCCACCATAAGATTACCAATGTCATGTTGAATCACCCCTGCACTAATCTGTAAAACAGGTCTCATTATGTGACAAAATAATAGTCACAAACTTTTTGTCTTCACCTAAATGCCAAAGTATAAACCATCATTGGGACGTTTATAGAGGTAAAATGCTGTGACAAAGTAAAATTGTTTATTTTACGTGGAGCCATCATGTGATGTTT